ATTACTCACAAAGTCAAAAGGTGAAAGTAATCTGGGTGCCCATCAACAGATAAATGGGTAAGCAAATTTGGTTTATACATACAACGGAATATTATTCACCCTTAGAAAGGAAGAAAAATCTGACACATGCAAAAACGTGAATAAACCCTGAGAACATAACATTAGGCTAAGTGAAATACACCAGTCACAAAAGGGCAAATATGTAATGATTCCACATTTATGAGGTACCCAGCATACTCGATTTTACAGAGACACAAAGTAGAATGTTGGTTGCCATGGGATGGTGGAAGGGAGAAATGTAGAGTTATCATTTGAGGTGGGGGTGGGGTTCTACAACATTTCTTCCTGCATCATCTATGTCTCTGGACACTTCTCTTTGGGCAACCCATTCCCTTTGACTTCAGATAAATTTCAGGGCAAGAGATAAGGGAATGGGAATTTTAACTGCAGCTAGTCTACACAGTCTCTGGCAGATAAGACTGACAAAGACCTCAAAGAATGTGGTGGGCCACCTTTATAGGCCCATCTTCTGTTCTTGTGTTACTATGGATGCACTTCATGGAATTATTAACATAAATTAGTTTGCATAGTTGAGGAAATTATGTTACTTTGGTTTTGTTTGTTGATTACTCTGTTGGTAGAGACGGTTTTGCCATGTTACCCAGGCTGGTCTCAAATTCCTGAACTCATGCAATCTGACCACATCAACCTCCCAAAGTGCTGGGATTACAGGCATGATCTACAATGCCTGGCCAAGAGTTATTATTAAATGGGTATAAAGTTGCCGTTTTGCAAGATGAAAAGAATTCTAGAGATGTATGGCAGTGACGTTTGCACAACAATGTGAATGTAATTAATACCAATACACTATACACTTAAAATGATTAATACAGAAACTTTAATGTTACGTGTATTTTGCCACAATTTTTTTTACAAAATTTAAAAAATTATGCACAATAAACAAGTGAGATTTATCCCAGAAATGCAAAAGTGGTTCAACAAGAAAGTCGATCAGTGTACTACACCATATTAGAATAAAAGAGAAAAACATGCTCATCTCATCAGATGCAGAAAAAAAAATTGACAACTTTTAATACCCATCATAACAAAAACACTCAGAAAACTCTAAATGAAATAAAACTCCCTTACCAAATAAAGCATATTTACGAAAACTCCAATGCTAAAGCATACTATACTGTGAAAGACTAAAAGCTTATAACTTAAAATCAGAAAGAAAAGAAAAAAAACAAGGATGTTCATTTTTACTACTTTATTTTTATTTATTTATTTATTT